GCGGGTGCGCCCTGGAGCGGCGGAGCAGAGCTGGGGACCGGCTGCCATCCTGCAGCAATTTCCCTGTGTCATGGCTTCGGTCTCTTAGCAACAGCCGCGAGTCCGGCCGCCCCGAGCCGCAGCTGCCGCCGCCGCCGCCGCGGGCTCAACTCCACCGGCGAAGCCCGGCGCGCCGCAGCGCCCCGCACAAAAGGGGCGCCGCGGGAGGGCGGCGGGAGAGCGGCTCCCAGACGCAGGCGGGATGCGGACGACCTGACACTTCCTGGAAACTCTTGGAAATGGCTCCCGCCTCGGCACCGGAGGGGGCTGCCCTCCCTGTGCGGGCGCTCGCCCCCGCGGGGCTGCGGAGCCGCGCTCGGCTGCGGGGCCCCAAGGCGCTGGCCCTGCGCTCCGCCGCCGGCTCGGGCTGAAAAAGTTTCTCCATGGTTCTTTTGTGTCGCCCGAGTGCCCGGTTGCCGACCCCAAGCTGCCCCAGTCTTCCCGGGTAAGTGAGCGATATTGTTTGCTTAGAGTGCTGCCATTTTGAGCAATTTTGTCAGCGCGCGGCCCCCGGCTGCCCTCCCCACCCCTCCTGCCCCAAGCAGCAGTCCCGGGGTTGGGGAGGGGACAGTCATTTCTCCGGGCTGGCCACAGGGGATGCGCTGCCCCAAAAACGCGAGTTCAGGCTCGCCCTCACTTCGCTCCTGCCAGTCTTCTTTCCAGAGGCGGACTCCCAGCTGCTGCACTCATGTGACTAACATAAATTAGCAGACCGAAAAGAAGGGCAAGGGGCTCGCCGCCTGCCAGTTAGGGAGCGGGACTCGAGGACCCGGGTTGGGTCGCGAGCAGTGCAGGGCAGGGTGCTCTCAGCCTGTGGTCTCCGAGCTCAGACACCGAGTGGGGCTTAATCCATCATGCTGAGAACTTGAACGTCTCTCTTGGAAGCAGTTGTATTTTTAGACATCCCTCCTTTGCTCCCCCATCCTCCATTCCTTAACCACGGCAAGACCAGCACCAAGCAGTAAACGGCGAGGGCAGGCAACCTCGACTGCTAAGTTTGTTTTCCTATATTGTGTATGAAGAAAAGCCTCAAAGGTGTGGGTCTTCCTTGGCGTCTGACTTTCTGTCAGTATTTCACATCGGATGGCGGCGATACACTCTAAGGAGTTCAACCTTCAACAGAGCCAAAGAAATAATAAATTAGGGAGTTGATTACTAACTATTGAACTAATTTTAAAGATATGTGAACGATTGTTAAAATCCATCCCAGTCTTTCTTACATTATATCTACCCAGAGCCAAAGCTGCCTTACTGAGGAGAAATACATGTGGGTACCTTCCTCCTCGAAGACGAAGGGCATCCTAGGGCAGCTTATCAGCGTCCAACAAAATGTTAGCCCTTCCCTCCTGGAGAACCATCCTGCCAACGGAGTCTGGGTTTGTTTCTAACATGTCTGGGATCCTAAATCCTTCTTAAAATAATCACGGACTTCCAGATCATTACATTAAAGATGCGGGAGTCTAGGGATCACTTACCACAGTAGTGTCTCTGTAACAACTACATGATAAATGTGCCTATTCAGGAGAGGGAGGTGACGGATGGACAGTAAGCAACTCTTTTTTAACCATCTGTTTGTACTGATTGGTGCAGTTCCTTCTTAAGACAAAATTAAAAAGGTTTGTAGATGCATTCTCTCGGCTAACCCCTCTCTAACCCACCTCATGTTTCTCCTCACTGAAAACCAACTAAGTTCCAAGGAGATTCTGATTTGCAAACATTCTAAAGAGCTGATTACCATTTGCTTTTCCAGTGGTGGAGAAAAGATCCTGCCTATATTGATATAATGGAGATGATCAAGGACCAAAGCTCTTCCCCAGGCACCAATTAAAAGCAAAATTCTACCTAAGTAATCCTACGTTTTTAAGGGGTAATTTATTCTAAAATATGAAATATTTTATAAAATACCGACAAGCTTGTGAGTAATACCTGTGCTTCTCAAATTCATGCAATGCCCTTAATTTTAGCATCTGTTATAGGAGGGAACACAACCAACAGAATAGAAAATGTTCTACTCTGGGGATATAGCAGCAGTGAAAATTTTAGAAGCTAACTGTTAATGCATCTGTGCATTTACCTGCCCAGGCTTTATTATAAAGAACTAAACTTCCCATAAGATAGTCCCTTGATCGTTGCCACCCTCCCTTCCTAAAAATGACCTCATGAGAAAAAAAATGAAGAAAACAGCTTTCACTTGGGAAGGAAATGTCTTTCTACAAATCATCATTTTTATGTAGACTGCTGTACCTAGTTAATTGCCTACTCATTTGAATATTGGGATCCAGAAGAGTGCTGTTGACCAAGAATAAGGGGTCAGAAAGCTATTATGGCCGAATGTGGGGTTTTTTTTCTTCTTCTTTTTTTTTTAAAGATCATGATTTTCCCATGGGAGAAAAAATATCTTTCTCTTGAAGATTCTAGGGGACTTCTCAAATTCCCTGATGAGATTTAGCACATGATACCTTTAAGGGAGTTCCTCGGAGGGAGGAGAGGAAGCCAGAAGGAAGAGCTTAGTTACATAACCAGTTACCTAAAACTAAATATTCCACCCCAAGAAGCTGCCCAGATGTTGCAGAAAAGAGATGAGGAAAAAGCTGGGAGAGGGATCTGCTTGCCTTTAGCTGTAGGAATAATAACGGATGGGAGACAACTTTGTCAGAATGTTGACATACCTTTATGGTGTCCTCCCAGCAATGAACTCTCTATTAATTATCTGAGGTAAATAAGCCATCTGCCTGCCAGCATATGACCTTTAATCTTCGTCCTGTGAAATGAATTCCTTTTATCTTTATGAAATAGTAACTTTTGCGACTCTTTGGCTGACTTTGGGCCTCACACTGACATATTTCCTCACTTAATTAGAGACTTGAGACTGCTGTGGCAGCTCCCTCGGTGAATCTTGATTCCAGCAGGGCAAAGGAAAAGGATTTTAGCAGGAAAGTCCTCAACTGCTACTTTGAGACCCTACATTCAGTTTCTGATGGTCAGAACTCCATTGGCTGCCAGCCAGGAGGGTTTGAAATGAACCATGACGAGATAATACCTACAAAGAGTGTAGGGCCAAGGAGGGTCAGGTGGGGCAGGGAGAGGGCGATGTGTTCTTTCAAATTGTTTTATCACCTATCAAATATTGCAACAACTCTGCCCAGCCATGATCCATCTACCCCACCTCCTGGTCTCTATATCCATCACTTACTCGGGTTAGTGGGTAAAGGTCCTTGGGGGCGGGAGGCACACACGTGGTGGGATCCAGCAGCTGGACAGTCGAAGCGCGTGGGTTTTTGAAGCCAAACCCATACCCTCTGACTGTCTTCCTCTGCTTTGCAGCAGGAGGAGGTGTTGGAGCAGCTAGTGGGCACCAGCCTCCTCCGCCCCAGGGGCTAGCCGCGCACTACACTGGCTCGCCATGATCGCCACCGGCGGCCTGCTGAGGATTTCCGCCAGAAAGCAGGATCCCCTCCGCCCCCCGAGCCAGGTCCCTAAACGCAAGCGGAAAGCCAGGAAAAGGCGTAAGAACGACGTCGTGGTGGTGAAAGGCAAGCTAAAGCTGTGTTCCATCTCCGGGCTCATCGCCCTCTGCGGAATCCTGGTACTGCTGGTGGGCATAGCCATGGCCGTGGTGGGCTACTGGCCCAAAGCCAACGGGGCCAACAGAGAGGGGGGGAAGCAGCTGCGGCCCGCCGGCAGCGGCCACCGCCTCCCGACCATGGCCATCAGCCCCGGTGGCAGTAAGAACCGGTCCAGGAGCCTCCCGGGGACTCCGGGCAGTGCCAACTCCAGTTCCGCGGGAGCGCCCAAGAGCACACCTCCCGCGCGGCCCGCGGCCCCTTCTTCGTCCTCCTCCTCGTCTGTGGGGTTCTTCTTCCGCATCTTCTCCAGCTACCTGCACTCTGACAAGCTCAAGGTCTTCGGACCCCTCATCATGGGCATCGGCATCTTCCTCTTCATCTGCGCCAACGCCGTGCTCCATGAGAACCGAGACCGAAAGACCAAGATCATCAACCTGCGGGACCTCTACTCCACCGTCATCGACGTGCACAGCCTTCGCGCCAAAGATCTGGCTGCCGCCGCGGCTGCGGCAGCCGCCGCCGCCGCCTCCTCCCCCTCGGCCCCCGCCTCGGCGCCCCCCGGGGCCGTGCCGCTCAATGGCTTCCTCAGCTACGTGCAGTCGCGGGGACTGGAGCTGAAGCCTGGGAGCTGCAGCGCCGCGGGGGATGCCTTCGGGGCGGCGGCGATGCTATCCAGGGGCTCTTGGCCGCACCCCGCGGCGCTGGGCGGGGGCGACGGCAGGGCCAGGGGCGCCGCGTCCCCGCCGGATCTGGCCTCGTCCCCGTGCTGCCCGCGGGAGCCCCCGAGTCTGGCGGAGGCCGTGTACAGCATCTACCGCGAGCGCTCGGGCGTGGCGGGCCGTCGCCGGGCAGCCGCCGCTGTGGCCGCCGCCACCGCGGCCGCCAGCCGCAGCAGCAGCCCGGCGCCCTGCAGCCCACCCGAGAGCTGGGGGCGCCAGAGCACCGCCAGCTCCCTCGTGGGGTCCTCGCTGAGCGCCTTCGCGCTGTTGCCTTTGCAAGGTGATCGCGACGGGGATGGAGACGAGGGCGCGGAGGGCGCGAGCTGCAGCTGGCAGAGGCCGCCTGGGGAACGCGGCTCCCGGGAGATCCCGCGGGGCGAACTTGACCTGGGCTCGACCGACCTCCGCGGTGCCCGGGGCGGCGCGCGCTGTGCGCCCAGCGAGGACGAGGAGCCCGAGGGCGCGGCGGCGGCGGCGGCGGCGGGCACCGCCAGGGGGCAGGGCGGCCGCCTGCCCAGGACCGGCAGGTACGCAGCCCTGCGGCGCCGCAGCACCAGCGGGCTCCCTGATTGCCGAGCGCCGCGGTCCCCCGAGCCCCCGCCCTCCCCGCGCAGCGCGGACCTGGACTGGAGCCTTCTGACCAAAGCTGCCTCCCCGTCGCCCCCCTTGCGGCTGGAGGACTCGCCCGCCGCCAGGCTGGACTCGCCCAGCTCCCAGGCGGAAGACCCATCCTGCAGCAATAAGGGCTACACCCCACTGAGGGAGGCCAGCACCTCCCTGAAATCGTTTGTGGACGCCGAGGCCACTGAAAGTCAAGACTGTGAGGCCACCACCGTGCCAGGTGTGGAGCAGAGCCCTCCAGAGGATCCCAGCCAAGGGCCACCCACAGCCCAGCCACCTCAGCAGGTGCAGAGGCAGTTTACAAACAAGGAGAAACTCTTCATGATTTCCCGGTCTCACGCCACAGGGGTAGAGGACGGAGAACTGGAAAGTACTGGCATTTAGGGAAAGAAGGAATGGGAGGAAAAAAGAAGTGAGAAAATAGGAGTAATGAATTAGTGAATTCATTGAATTCACTGGAATGAGTGAATTCAATTTAACAGTTTCATTTCCTTGTGGATTTACCCAAGGAAATTATCCAATATCCAAAGAGCTGCAGAATGCTATCCTTGAATTGCGGTCATGAGATTCCTGTAGATAACTCCAAGCAATTTTTTTTTTAAAAAAAGCAAACTAGTCTTTATGTCTGATGGTGATTGTATGTTCCATGAAAACCAAATGTATTACAAGGTCAGCAATCTATTTCATTAGATAAAATTCCCTTAAGTTTCTTAGAATGAAAATTATATATTTTTTACAGTAATTGTGCACTTTACCCCAACTTTTCTTTTTGGGGAGAGGTCCCTAATTTCCCTAACCCCTGTATTCTGCTGCTGGTTTTGTCCATGGCTGCCTGTGAATGACAAGCTTTTTTCCTCCTGTGCTTTTGCAGAGCATAGTAGGGTTTGTCTCTGTTCTTTGAGAACTGATCTCACTAAATGAAGTCAAAGCCAAAAGCATGAGTATATTGGGAAAGAGCATTTTCTTTGCCCCACCCCACTCCACTCACTCAGTAAACCCAAAGGCCTCTTCATTTTTTAAAAGGCTATTTACATTTTGCTACTAGGGTATCTAATGGAGACTGAAGTGGACCAGCAATCCTGAAGTGGACCAGCAACCTGACACCATCACATTCTTAAGTTCACTATATCAAGTACACAATACTTTATTGAGTATTATCACACCTGTATTGCAAATAGCATTAATATTAAAAATATTTTTTAATAAAAGAAGTTTCCAAACAGTTAAAACATAATATCGCTTCATTTTGCCTTGGAACTAATGCTTCTAAACACATGTTAAACATTTAATAGTTCAGCTGGTAAATCTAAAGTATTTTGCTCTGACACTGCTACTAAGATTGTAGTTACCTCCTGGCAAAGTGCTCAGTGCTATCACCACTCAATCGGTTTCCAGTATATTTTAAAGTTTTAAACATCTGGGAGTTTTTCTTTCAAATGGAATGATACATTAAGCATATAGTTATTTTCTATAATACTTCTAGTTTACCTCAAAGTATTCATTTACAGAGCACCAGGCTTAATATTCCATTTGTGTCTTCTTGGAATTGACTCACTTGATCTTGATAAATTCATGATCTTAAACCCTTAGGCTAAAAGGTAATGTTTTTATAATTTGGTAGGTTATGTATACTGGATTTTCTTAAAAGTCAGTTAATTTTCAAGAACAGTAAACAATGTATCATTGTGATGCCCTCTTCCTTTGAATGTGAGCTGAGAATCTTGATAATGGTGTTTCTTTCTTTTGGCCATTTGGAGACAAGTTCTGCCATTGCATGCAGCTGAGACTATCATTGCAGGAGCTTAAAATACTGATTTTAAAGGAAAATCCAGTCAAAGGGGTAGTCATGTTGGTCCCCAGGAGTGAAGCAGTGGGTCCAGCAGAAAGAGTACAGACTTAGGAGTCAGACTGGATCCCAGCTCTCAGCCTTGAACAAGTCACAAATGCTGAGTCTCAGTCATTCAGTCTATAAAATGGGGGTACCTAGACATACCTCATGAGATGTGAGGGGGTAGAACAAAAGGCTATATGCAAAGAGCCGAGCAGAGTACCCAGCTTAGAGTATGTACACAAAAAATGGTGGTTATTGTAGTTATTATTATTTTTGTTATTATTATGATGATGATGGTATGTTTGAATGCATGCTGTAGAAGAATGGGTTTTTCCTGGGCTGACTTGAGCTCAGGAAAGCCTGGGCTAACATTGGGAATATCCGATTACTTTCTGCATGATTTTAGTCAAGTCACTTAATCCCTTTGGCCTCTGGTGAATGATATAATCTGCCTTCAGCTCTAAAAGCTTTACTTAAATGCAGGGTATTTGTTTTGTCCTGGCTATAATCATATTTGTATATAAAACTTTGCAAAGTGAGTTTATACTTCGATAAACTACCTTTTACTGTAACATTCTGTAATCAGTTTAAGAGGTCCTAACTTATTCTAAGATTGGATCTGAAGTAAGCTAAAACTTACTTTATTTAAAGGTGTGGATTAATTTATTTGGCTCTTCTATGTAGCAAAGGTGAATTTTCACGAGAGACAAGCAAGTGTAACCATACCTCCAGGCAGTGTTGAATGTCAATAGTCTCAACTGTTTTATCACACTTACAAAAAATTTTCAAATTTCCCTAGTTTTCTTGGCTATTGTCTGGCATACTGGGTAATTTATATACTGAGAGATTGGTGAGTTGCTTAAAAGGAAAAACAAATTCCAGGGCTCTAAAATACTGTATCCAGTCCTCAGAAAATGCACTGTAAGACATGTAGCAAATAATAAAACCATGACCTCTTAGTTTAACTTTAAAAAGTTGGGGAGAAAAATATTTATCCCTTACAAGCTTTAGAAAATTCAGTCCAACTAGTTGACTAGACTTAACCATACTGATTGCCTAGTTATATTAATCAGATTAAATATATAACTTATAGTTCATATTGATCTCATGGACACAGGCCCTTGGAAATGTAATAATAATTTCAGAAACTCATTTAGCTCGGAATCAAGTCATATCTATCTTAACCATCCAGGAATTTAAATGAATATTCTTTTCCCTGAAGATAAAAAAAGATAAGCTCAATTTTCCATATCTTGGGAGGAGCCCTGACTTTCCACAGACCTCAGAAGGAATCCCCTGCAATCATCCTTGTCACAGAAGCAGATCTTCTGCCATACCAACCTAAATTTGTTCTCACTACTTACTGAAGGCTGTTCTGTTTACATGCTTTATACTTACTAGCTCATACTTCTCATAGCAACCCAACTGAACTAGGATTATTACTATCCTCATTTTACAGAGAAAGACACTGAGGTCAGGATGTTGGAGTGCTTACTCAGGTTACATAGTGGGTAAACAGAGGAGTCAAGATTTATACAGAGTTTTGTCTGAGAGATCCTTTACCAAAAACCAATCTTAGAGATTTGCAGAGAAATGTTAGAATGTGCAGCCAGTTTAAAAGGTGGAGTTTTTGTTTAAATCTTCAGACTGGCATAAACAAGATTTCTTTTCTATGTGACTTTGAAGGGTTTCTTCTACCAACTCTATAGGACTGTTTGAAGGGATCTTAGTGATTGTGGGACTCCCTCCACTCTATTTATAAATGAGGTTGCTAAGAATTAGCAAGATGGAACAATTTGTTCAAAGGCAAACAACTGTGGCAGGATTAGAATGTTAAAATAATTGCAATGGTTGGCATATGCATTCCCCCAACCCTGCCCAGACTTTTATCATGTACTAGCTAGATGACAATGGGCAAGCTACTTAGCCTCTCTGTGTCTCAGTTTCCTTTCCCATACAGTTGTAATAATAATGGTGCCTACCTCTCAGGACTGGAGTGACTATTAAATGAATTACTATCTGTGAGAGTGCTTACAACAGGGTTGGCTCACAGAGTGCTTCAAGGTTATTTTGGTTTTATTTAAAATTGGATCAACTGCTAAACAGAATAATTTCATATGGCCTTTCCTTTTATTGACAGAATAATTTTATGTTTAAAAATCAGAAGTGTAAGGCAACATAGCATAGTGGCTCCAAGTGTGACTTGGAGGGTTACATAACATTGTACCTGGGTTTCCACATCTTTAAATGGAGATAATAAATATCATCTGACTCATGGAATTAATTATTTAAATGAGGACTAAACAAACTAATATACTGAAAGAACTAGAACAACTCCTGGTACAAATAAACCTTCAGTGAGTGTTAACTACTATTATTAAGGCAAAATACAGAAAAGTAATTAGTTGGCTAAATTTACTACTCGGTTGTTAAGGACAACCGTAAACTTACTGTACTAAAAAGTCTTTATAATTTAGGTATATTAGAAAGAAAAAATAGATCTTAAAAAATGAGGGCTTCTGGTGCTACAATTCTTCCAAAAGAAAATATAACTAAGGAGAGCTAGATAGCTGCTCTGCCCAGTCCTACCATCCTGGCATTACGCAGCAATGACTGAGGACCCAAACTGGCTTACTTGATTCTATGTGGTGATGTCTATTCCATTTCCACTTACAGAGGCTGGTCACATCAGAAAAGCCAGGTTAACCCCGCAGTCCCAGCCCCTTTCTATTAGAGAGCTGGCTGGAAGAAAGGCTCATGAAGACCCAAAGTGAGGAGCAGGTACATGTTGATGTACTTAAATGTCTAGACAAAAGTTTTTCTATACCGGTTTTCTCTAGTCATGTTGGATTATTTAAAAGCAGTTTTGAAAGTTTTTGAGTTAGACAACTTAAAAAACTCCCCAACAACATAAAAATATGACCAACTAGGCACATGAATTTGTATTTTGATGAGAATAGTATTTTTGTCAATATATAAAACATATTTTACAGTCAAAGAATAGCATTGATACTTGCAAACTTTGCATTCCATAGACCTAGATTAATTTTCCATTTTTCTGCTAAAAATCATTGACTGAATTTTGAGACCAAGTTTTTGAATGACTCTCAAAAGCAATTTTTTGAAGATTTTATTTTTCTTTTCTAAGAACATTTTTTTTTTAATTTTAAGACCTTTTTTTTCCTTTTGAGAGCAATTATCTTTGAAGTTTTTTTCTGCAAAAAGGAACGAATTTCTTTAAATGGATGTGAAAATTAAATGTTTTTATATTGTCACCAAAAATTGGGAGTTCATTTGCATTAACAACTTTAGTCAAACAGCTACCTGCCACTTCCCCAGACCTGTTGAGCTCCTTATTTGTAGAAGCCATCTATTTCTCTATCATGTCGGAAAAGCAAAGGGCTAACATTGGATTTCATAGGGGCATGAGCCACAGTAAGAGCTGTAAATGCCTACCATCCTGGGAATTTAGCTTTCACCCCAAAACCACTTTTGGGTTTCTACCCTTTGAAAAATATAATCATTTAACTTTGAACTGGCTCCCTACCCTTATCCCATCGATAATACTAGACTGTGATATGGCCCTGCATGACAAGAGCAGACATTTGGCTGATTCACTAAGCTAACATAGGTTTTTCTGCTCACGGTATATGTCTGATCAAAAGTCTAAAAAAGCTGATGCAGATTTACCCGGAGAATCAGGGAGCCTGGTCCTGTCTCAACCTGCGCTGCTTTACCTGTGCTCCTGACCCCACACTGTGACCAAGTCCCACCAAGGGCAACAGGTTGACTGTCAGTCACAAGGGTGGAAAAAGGCCACAGAACCAGAGGTGGGAGGAAAAAGAAAATCCTGCGAAAAGAGAAAAAGACAAAAGTTAGAATCAGGAGGAAAGCTTTTTGTTTCACAACTGAGCATGTGGTTACTCTTGTTTGTAAATCACTTTTATGTAGACAGGTATCTTAAAATGAAAGATTACAGCAACTTTTATTCCTTAGAAAACTCTTTCAGCAAATTCATGGTTTGACATTAATTTGTATATTCTTCAATCTTTCAGAAATTCAACATAACATTTTGACATAAACCCATTTGATACTAGGAATTGCTAAGCATCTAATAATGTTTAGTCATGGAAAATAAACTTATGGGCAAATTTACAAAGAATTGATTTTACACTAAAAAATTCTTTATACTGAAAACTATCTTTAAATTATGTCTATACTTACAAAGGAAGAAATATGCAAGTTATTAGTTGGAACTGGTGTATTAGGTCAACTGAAGCAAGACGATAAACACTACTTTGTCTCAGTGTAGGGATTTGCTATTGCTTTATTTATGTGATAATTGCCTTACCATTTTATACAGATATAATGTAAAAGAAAATGATTCACCTGTAGGAGTACACAGCTTTGGCTTGAAGCAGCTGTCTTTCTGGAAAAATAGATGATTCATTTTTGTAGAGCTCAGGAAACATTTTTAACTGCCTGTCATGAGTCAGGGAAGCACTGTGGTAGGTGGAAGGGATTAAACTATGAATAAGACACAATCACAGACCACAGGATTGCAGTAGTATTGTTGTTGACACAGGAACAGAACCCATCATTTCAATACAATGTAAGTATCACGAGAAACGTATGGGATGCACCCTGCAGCTCAATCTTGAGAAACGAAAAAAATGTCAGCTAGATGCCCAAAGGTGGAAAAGGTGTGTCGAACAGTGGACCCAGCAGGAGCACACCCAGCAGGAAGGTGAGACACAATTTAGCAAACCAGATCTTCATAGGACAGTTTATATTTGACATTGCTCTAGTATCCCCACAATCACAGGTAAAATGCAAGTTTATTTTGAAAAAAAACAAAAGCTATCATGTGTCTGTCTGTCTTTGTCAATCATCTATCTATAGATATCTCCTTTTATAAGTAGTAGAAGCATAGTTGGTATTAAGATTAACTTGATTTGGGCATTAAAATACTCAAAATACATATTATTTACCATTAGATATTTAATTATTCACCATTTATAACTGATCTCAACTAGCAGGATTTCTTAAATGAGAGGTAGCAGTATGTGGAACTAACAAACCATGTTCTATTGGACCTAAACCATCTCCATGAGTGATAATGATTTTTGCTAAATGATACACTACTTTAAAATAATCATTTAATTTAAACATTCAAGGTCTAGAAATCATTTCTCTGGATGTGGTATAAAGGGATGTGGGTGGGGAATCTGCCACTTGGCAATGTTGTGTGTTTCCAGGATGATGAATACTCTTGTGCTAATCCATGTCCTATAAGGACTGGAAACAGCATAAACTCAGGGGCTGTTTTATCAGGCCACAGGGTATTTTTACAGCATCTAGACATATTTCTATATCAATTTACAACATAATTTTTAATAATAGAAAATATAATTGGTCTTTATTAACAAAAAGTCCCATTCCTATTTTCTCCTCATACCCATGTTCATGGCAAAAAAAAGATTATTTAAGGCTCAGTCATCCTCTTGCAAATGTGTCTGAAATATGTGCAAGTATTCTTCATGGTCTGGCACCCCAAAGATGATGCTTTCTCATTTCTAAACAGCCAGTCTTTTGCAGGTATTTTCTGAAACCAGATTCAGCCAGAATAATGGTTTGGCACTGTATAAATGCACCCTGATCATTTACACACAAAGCTGCAAACTAAAAGATAAGCCAAAAAAAATCTACTTTTCAATATAAAGTCTATTAAAGTAAAAAAAAAATAGTATTTTTCTGTTTGTTTGAATGTCCCACATTTTGATTTCTTCAAAAATCATTTTAGTGTACAAACACAGTCAAAGCAAAAATATAAAATGTCTTTTTTCTTTTTTTAATCCATGAAAGTAAGAATTTTGCAAAAGCACTTTCCATTGCAGATAAAGTTCAGCAGATATTATCAATTGTAGTTTTATTATCAGAGCCACTAAATAAATCTTTCCAAGAGATATATTTATTGGTAACAGGTTTAATATTTGGAAATACTGGTATTAAGGACTATGGTTAATATGATATGATAAATGTCAGGAAGCAAATAGAATTCTTGAGAAAGCATGAAAATTCCAAAGGGCTAATTTAATTACCTAAATGCTAATTCTCTGCTTGTATAACTACACATCTCAATGTGTTTGGAGCACAAAATATTACTTCAGTGTTTGCACATTTGATTGTACAATTTCTTCCATTTGTATTACTAATTGCATTTCAGCCTCGTGCCTGAGAACATTCCTTGATTTATTAGTCTTATTGGGGATTACTACTTTACAAAAAAAATTGCATTTATAGTAATAGTAATGATAATAATAATAATAACAATAATGGGCTTAAAGGAGACCAAAAGGTAATTTGAGTACTCTACTCATAATATAGCATTGTTTGCACCCAATTTTTTTATATCTTCTTAGAGAGTAAATTGAATGATGTCTTTTTGAAATATGTGCTTTCAAAAAGCCAAAACACAAAGTGCATGTTTTCAACCTTCTCATTTCTTCAATCCCATGGCTGTTGGATGTGAAAAACTTTCTTTTAATTTTACAGTATAATCTAAGTTGAGATATAGGGGGAATGTTTTCCAAGATTTCTGTTATTATAAATAAGTGAATAAAAAGGAAATTTAATAATGCTATATAACTTTGAAAAAAAAGCCAACTTTGATTAAGTCAATGGCAATTAAACAGAACACAAATAAATTGAACAGAGCTTCTGGTTAGCCTGTATGAATCATCTTCAACAGCAGTACCAAATAATAGTAAGAAAAATAAATAAATAAAGTGATACGAAAAGAAGAAACTTACTTCAGGCATGATTAGGGCCATGAGTAAAAATAATCCAAGTTGATGTGTGGCAATTTTTAACGCAACATAATTTTAGAAAATTATTTAGCAATTGTGTAAATGTGACATGCCTGAAAAATGTTAATTAAACTGGTTTTCACAATGGCTGAGACGTATAATTATTTAGCCATGCTCCCACAGTCATTCGGAAGGAAATTGTAAGCTCCAATTCTAAAAGTCTGTTTTGGATTATAACCCCTGGAGCTGGTGAGTGAATGCAGAGCCTTTTCTGTTCACAGAAAATGATGAGGTCCCAGATATGTCACCTCATTCTTCTCTGATTTCATTTGCACACATGAGGAAAAACAACTTCAACAACAATGCAGATCTTTATACTTCAGTGCTTTCTCTTTTGCCCATATCATTAGCATACTTACCTCAGGGAAGAAAAAGTCTGCAAAACAATACTAGGTTGGGTCTCAGAATGAAAAATCTAGCCATTGTATCCTCTGATTTACAAGCACTCCCTAAAATCTTAAAGGTAGAGAAGGAGATTGTTGAGAAGATGAGACAGAGAGGGCCTCTTCAAATCTGGAACATTTTACCATAATGTCCAAAAACTGATACGAATACTTGAGGTTGATATCTGGATCTTGGCCTGTAATTAGGAATCGGGCTGTTAAATCAAAATCATAATTTGGGAATCAGAATGTTGAAATGAAATTTAGGATTGATGACAGAAGTAGTAATCAATAGTTTGCAATTTGGAGTTGCAAAAGTTACAGACTTCAGGAGATCTCAGGGGTGTGCACATGTACATCAGTGAACCCAGTGAGACACAAAGTCCCCACTGCAACTCATTGCTTTACTATGAGGTCTGTGAACAAAAATCTCATGGTAAGAAATAAGTAAGTAGCTGTAAGTAGAAGGATAGCAAAGTAAGAAAACCTTACTTCAAGCAGATACTAGTTCTTCTGACATGGGCTGCAACTTTAAGAAAAATCAACTATACTGAAAGTGAATTTCTGTGTCATTGAATTTTGTCAGAGCCCAAGCCAGGGAATAAACTTGCTCATATTTGTATGAAAAAAGGAGATAGGTAAGATGCAAGATGTAAGATGAAGAATTCCATAGTCACTTTTTATAATATATTTTGGTTTTCATAATCAAATAGTTTATATTCTCATTATGCCTACTGTAGTTAATAGTGTGAGCAGAAGTGAAGACCTGAAAAATCTTAGAGTTCTGCGTCTTGCCAAGTGGGCTTACTAAGACTAGAAAAAAAGCTCTGAAAGTGAAGGGAACCAAACAAATGCCAATTT